TAATTCGAGATTTTATTAAAAAACTTCCAAAGATTCGTCGATGTTCCTCGACTTCTCTCACATGTCCAGCATCAACAAGTTTTTTACCTTTGGTCATTGTTTCCGGCTGGAACTTTATTTGATGGGTAATGGACTCAAATCCTGTCTTTATAATAATGTCCATGTCTTAAGTTTGACCAAAATAATAAAAAAAACTAGTGAACAAAAATATTATTTACTTATTCTATTGAGAAAATATTTTTATCATTATTATAATTTATTTATTAGGACTATTCCGAGATTTTGACATAATTTTTAAGCAACATAACCTTATAAATTTATTTTCTTTATTTATTTATTTATTTATTTTATCATACTTACCTGTGTTTTAAGTACGTTCAAGTAAATTTAAAATTTACATTACCTATTCAACTTTTTCTTTCTTGTTTTAACTTATTAATAATACTTCTTCATTAACTTTTTTCTTTAAAAACATCTAAAAACACACGTAAAGCACGCACCATTTCCTTATCTATGACACGCACTGACAGCCCCAACTAGTTCACACGTGATACACATTTATTCTGGCGCTGCAGTCACGCTCGGAGCCAATACTTGTTTATCTATGGTTCCTGCATTCGATCGCCGTACAAATGTGCGAAAAATCTAAGTTTGTATACGCGAGTTGTTGCTAAATAATTCTGTTGTAGTGAATATTTAATATATAAATTTAGTATGGTCATGTGCCAAGTTGTTTCAACTAATGAATATTAAATTGCTCGTCTTTCTTGCAAATGATGGTTACGCATGTATGGTGATGCATTTATTTATATAATGAAAATGTGTAATAATAATATGATAAAAAGAATCTAAAAGAATTATAGATGCATGGGGAGTTATCTCCGAACAAATGTATAATACACTGCTTTGTAAAGGATTACAATATGCAGCGATAATAAGATGTCGCAACTAGTTTCAAAATATGGAAAACGTCAAAATTACAAAAGTTTGCTCGCCATTTTTTATCAAAGTTTGTGGTTCGCATGTTGTTTCTGTAATTAATTGTATTCAAGTAAACATTTAAATGAAATTTAATATGACAAAGTGTAACGCACCAACTTGTGGTTACTTCAGAAATAATATAAAAATTCACTTTTTTGCGGCTTTATGAAGTGAACAAATTAGAAACGTTCAAGTGTACTTTACAGAATAGTTAGTCTGCAACTACAGTGGAAAGAGTAATAATATGAGTAATAATCACTCTTCTTTTATCTATGGTAATAATAATTCTAAATATTTTAATACCATTTGCTATTACGACTTGATTTTATATTACAACATGTTATGTTTATTAGATGTTCTTGGGGATTCAAATTGCTGCAGAATGTAGTGACTATGAGCATCATAGGAGTACTTGTTTTCTTGTAATGAAGTGTTGAAAAAAAAATTTCCGACGATTTTTATTATTATTTTTTTGACTGTAGATACCATAGTCTTCTAGATCGTACTAAAATATTTCGGCCCTACGATAACTCGTTCAGCTTTAAAAATTCGTCAAAGCTTGCAAATTTTTTTTTTAATTTCAAGAATTATTACAACTGTTAAATAATTAACATCTAGCAATATTGATAGATAATAATATAAATTTAAATAAATAAAAGTGCAAAGGATAGAATTTACATGAAAATAATATCCGTAATATGATGATTTAATATAAAATAGAAGCAAAAATTAGCATCGCTTTTTTGGCACTTGTCAAAATTAGACCTTTCATCGACAGTTTCTCAAAAACGCTTCAACCGATTTCAAAAATTTAAAAACCATTTGATGTATCTCAATAAGGACTATCGCTTGTCAGTTTTGTATAATGATCGGCCGAGTCGTTTGTTTGAAATTTGGAAAAAAGTGTTAAATTTTTTGTCCACAATTAAGCTCTTACTACCGAATCGATTTTCACAAATCAAAAACTGTTTGAAAGGTATTAGTTGGGAATGATACTGATTAGTTGGGAATGATACTGATTACTGATCGCTGCCATCAAAAGATTTAATCATACCCCTAGCTTCAGCAAATGACATACGAGCCATGTTTTGAATATTTGTATTAAGATGAATAGAAGAAAAAGAATTAAAATTTTGGGACAACTGAGGAATATGCGAAATAGTTTTAGGTGAAAATCTACCGAGCCGTTTTCTTGTAATTAACTGTTGAAAAAAAAATTTAAGCTGTTGTTTATGGAACTTTTTTTAGCAATATATATCATGGTCTTAAAGAACTTACTGAGATATTACGACCTTACGACAAGTAGTTTAATTTTAAAGATTAGTTAAAAATTGAGAAAACGAGTAGTTTTTTTGACGTTTATTAAAATTTAAATTAGACGATTCACTTGGTGTAACGATAGAGTACTTGGTCCTAATGAACATACTAAACCATTAAAGTCCTACGGAAACTTGTTTAATTATAAAAATTATTGATTTGTGAAAATTTGGTTTTAGAAAATACTCCGAGTTCACGTGTTCGTTCGTTTTCAAATATCACTCATAAATTAATTTATTTTTTTGATTAAGTCGATTATTTTAACATATCGGGAAGTTCATGTAACTTGCCTCAAGGCAAAATACCAATACCAACTAGTTAATATATTATTATTAGTCATTAAGAAATTAATATTAGTCAGTCCCTGTAAATTCTTCATACTTGTGAAAGCTCTTACAATATTTCTGTGTAGTTGTTATATATTTTTGATCATTAAGTAATTCATATTGATTGTTCCTTTTAGGTTTATCATTTTATTGTAAATGCTCCTACACAATTTCTGTGTAGTTGTTATATATTGTTGATTATTAAGTAATCCATATTGATAGTTTCTTTTAAATCTATCATTTTATTGTAAATGCTCTACACAATCTCTTCGTAGTTTTTTTATATTGTTGAAGTAATTCATATTGATCATTCTTTGTAAATTTGTCATTCCATTGTGAATACTTTTTTTAGTTACTTATAATTGTAAAATTTTAATACTTATTATTATGTATAATAATTATTACATTTATAAAAATTTTAATTGTTATGTAAAAATATTTGTGATATATTTGGAAATATATTTTGTACTTTGTATGTTTTTTTCTCCAATTTTTCCAATATAAGAAATTATTTAGGTTTTCTTATTTTGAATTACGTATACGAACCATATCTAGGAATAATACCAGTGCTACTACCAATAAGTGCTGCTTCCTTCAGATCGCTGAAAAAATTAAAATTGAGGTAATGCCAATGGCCTTAGATAGCGATATATTTATGCTTACTTATCTATGCCTAGATGTTCGCATTTTAAGTGCAAAGTGCTAATAAAGTGGCAACTCCCGTTATATTTGTGACGCACATTTTGCTAATATATATGAGAAGTCAAATACTTTTCAATCTATTCAAGAAAGCGTCCTAAATTTCATGCTCTTCAGAACCTAAATATGCCGGGTTTGTACTATAATATATGAATGTATAATAATTATTATTATTTTAGAACTTGGTGTATCAATATCAATTTGTAAAAATGATGTAGAGGCAATAACAGATTGTCGAAGGACAGTAATCTTGCCTCAGGTAATTAAATACAAGTTGCTTATATATTTATTTTGAATAAGGCAGTTGTATCTTTAAATCAAGTACCTGTCTTTTTCGTAATAATTTATATAATAATATGCTTCTTGTTTTAGCTTCTTCAAGTTTTATAGAAGTGGGTGGATCAGGCAAATCTCCTTTACGGTAATCATGAAAGAGTTCTCCTCTCACACAGTCATGACTAAAAGATCATCCCGATGTAGGATCAGGCGATAATTCTGATAGAGGATAAACAAAACAATCCATTAAAAACCACAACAGTGTGCAAATCCAGTAAAAAGGCCAAGTAATTTCAATTCTAAATACCGTTTGCAAAAAAAAATCAGAAAATTCACAGGGAAGGACAAAATTTTTGCTTTGAATCTGTACAAAAAGTCACAAAAAGGCATAAAGTGCATAAAACTTTATTTTGTTAATTGAAAACACCTAGTTTTAGAGTTTTTTATCTTTTATGGAAGTTTTGGTGTTAATGTTTTTATCATAATCATAAAATGGGTGAATGTAATGTTAAGAAACACTCATACACAGAAACTATTCAAAGATTTTGCCAAATGCAACTTTATTAATGATTGATTAGACATCAAAAGAACTGTTAAATGCAGAGATAACAAAGAAGAATGTCTCGTAAATGAACTTTAATTCTGGGAATTTAGTTTTCTCTCAATTTTAATATCAATATATATAAATTATATTTTTAATATTATTTTGTTTGCGAAGTATTTGTTTTTTATAATTATGAGTTCTTTTTATTCTTAAGTTTTTGCATTACTTGTCATTCCTTCTAAATTTGTCATTCTTGCTAAATTTGTCATTACATCATCAATACTCCTGCGCTTTTCTCTTCTTAGTTTTTAAGTTTTTAATATATTTTTAGTCATTAAGAAATTAATATTAATAAGTTATTTCTCTTTAATTTGTAATACTTTAAAAACATGTCAGTAATAAACTTTAATTATTATTAGTCAGTTATTTCTGTTTAGTTTATAATTCTTCAAAAATATGTCTGTGATATATTTGAAAATATATTTTGTATTTCGTACGTTTTGTCCTTATTTTCAATATATTTTTTTCAGATTTTTTGTCTGTATTGATTATATGTACAAATGTATAAGTAACACCAGGGGTTAATTTACAAAATGTACATGTGCTACTGTCTTTAATCAAAACTGCGCATTTCAATCAAGATAACGTCAAATCGCCAGACATAGCAATCTATTTATACTTGTCTATCTATGGATCATATAATGTTTTAACGTTGGTGCCGCGATATTGCTAAATGTGCGCGTTTATGGCGGATTTTCAACTGTCGAATAACTTGACTAAGTATCGTGTCAAACATGTATTAACATTGCCAACTGACCATAATCGAAACCCACTGAAGTTTGCAAATGAATGAAATATTCTTGTTAAGTTGACTAATGATAGGAGAGATAATCACTGTACGTCAATCATTTTGACTCGCTTATTTTTTGCACTAGCAGCTTCCAAGTAATTGTTATTGTAATACGTCTTGTAGTAGAATCGTATATAAATAATACCGAGATGAATGAGGAATACGATGCTGTAGTGTTGGGCACAGGCCTGAAAGAATGTATTTTAAGTGGCATGCTGTCTGTGTCCGGTAAAAAAGTGTTGCATATCGATCGCAATAAGTATTACGGCGGAGAATCGGCATCTATAACACCCTTAGATCAGTTATTTACACGTTTTGGTGTACCAGCCCCTGATGAAAGCTATGGTAGGGCACGCGACTGGAATGTTGATCTTATTCCTAAATTTCTTATGGCGAATGGTTTGCTTGTCAAACTTTTGATACACACTGGAGTGACGAGATATTTAGAATTCAAGTCGATCGAAGGAAGCTATGTATACAAAGGAGGAAAAATTTCAAAAGTTCCAGTGGATCAAAAAGAAGCCTTAGCATCAGACTTAATGGGCATGTTTGAAAAAAGACGATTTCGCAATTTTTTGATTTATGTTCAAGATCTGCAAGAAGATGATCCAAAGACATGGAAAGATTTTGATCCAGTAAATTCTAACATGCAAGCTTTGTATGACAAATTTGGATTGGACAAAAATACACAAGATTTTACTGGGCATGCTCTTGCTCTGCACAGAGATGATGATTACCTTATGTTTCCTGCTATAAACACAATCCGTAGAATTAAATTGTATTCAGATTCATTAGCACGCTATGGAAAATCACCTTACTTGTATCCTATGTATGGGTTAGGAGAGCTTCCACAAGGATTTGCTAGACTTTCTGCTATTTATGGGGGGACATACATGCTTGACAAACCAATTGATGGGTTAGTTTATGGTGAAGGTGGTAGAGTTATTGGTGTACGATCTGGAGAAGAAGTTGCGAAATGTGGACAAGTATATTGTGATCCTACCTATGTACTTGAAAAAGTAACTAAAAAGGGTAAAGTGATACGTTGCATATGTCTGATGGATCACCCTGCTCCAAACACTCGTGATGCACTTTCTACTCAAATAATCATTCCACAAAAACAAGTCAACAGAGGTTCTGACATTTATGTATCTGTTATTAGTTTCACCCATCAAGTTTCGGCTAAAGGATGGTTTATAGCAATGGTATCTACAACAGTAGAAACAGATAATCCAGAAGCAGAAATTAAACCAGGGCTTGACCTTCTTGGCCCCATTAAACAAAAATTTGTATCTATTTCTGATTATTACATACCCGTGGACAAAGGAGAACAAAGTCAAGTTTTTATATCAGAGTCTTATGATGCTACAACACATTTTGAGACCACTTGCTTAGATGTGTTAGACATATTCAAACGAGGAACTGGGGAAGAGTTTGATATTTCAAAAATCAAATTAGAATTAGGAGATGAAGAACAATAAATATTCAACATGGTGGGTGAAGATGATTGTTTTATTATCTGGAAATACCCGTTAATAAATGAATATTAGTGTACTTTCCTACTTGATCTTTTGAGCATTTTCTATTTTATAACAATGTAACTATTATATATATATATATATATATATATATATATATATATATATATATTAGGGTGGTCCTTAAAATGGTCATTTTCGAATTTCCTTACTCCCAGGGGCTCAAATGGTTCCAAATAGATAAAAAACAAATCTCCGAAAGTTATAGCTCTTAATATTACATTTAGACAGAGCACAATTCAAAGTTTTGTATGGAAATAGCATGGAAAAATTTTCAAAAATTTTAAAAATGTTTTTTAGATGTAATTTAGCGAACAAATGAATGAATAAAACTCATACCTAAAACATTTTTTTTTTAATTTTCAAAAAATTTTCCATGCTCTTTCCATACGAAGTTTGATTGAATTGCGCTCTATCTAAACATTAATATTAAGAGCTAAAACTTTCAGAGAATTGTTTTTTATCAATTTGGAACCATTTGAGCCCCTGGGAGCAAGGAAATTCGAAAATGACCATTTTAAGGACCACCCTAATATATAATATATAAATAAATATATATATATATATATATATATATATATATATATATATATGGATGTATGTATGTATTAATTCTACATTTTTTATAATGTCAGAACTAAGTTTAAATTCATGGTTGTTGATGCTCTAATGTTTTATATTATTGGCTTTTCTCGGTGATAGAATTTATATGTGCATATACATATAGCCATGTTTCCTAATAAATTTTGTAATTAATTTCTGTACACTTTTTTAAACAACAAAATACATTTATTTCAGTGTTATTGCATCTTTAAATTTAATATATTTATGTGCATATATGTAACACACACAAATATGTATGAGGCATTTATAATTATATATGCCTCATACAAGTATATGCATTTATATATGTGTATAACACAAAGTATAATATTTAAGATATTATTTTAAAATTATTGCATTTTAACATTTCAAACTGTATTCAGACCGGTATTCAAAGATATATATATATATATATATATATATATACATATACATATATACATATACATATATATATACATATATATATATATATATATATATATATATATATATATATATAATCCTCAATATATATATATATATATATATATATATATATATATATTTTAGTTAGTACAACATCGTTACACAATGGTTAAATCCAGGAATTCAGTAATTGAAATACTCTATCAATTTAACTAAAACATGTATGTGTAGTTGCATAATTAAAGATGATAGATTTATGTATAAAATTAATATTACATTCATTTTTATCGTATTTGTGTTTAAGCTGCTGATTATGCATATTTCATAATTCCAATTGGCAAATTTATATATTTTGTAAGGTGGTTTATAAATTTTTTCTTATTCTTATGACACATAACTAGATGTACTTACTTTGCATAGAAGTAAATTTTGCTGTTTATTCCGAAGCCGGAAAATGATGAAATTTTTTTTGAAAAATAAAATGTATATATTGGCGGAATTGGAACATGCAAAACCGAGCGTTAAATTTGGGTATCGCACGATACTATTCTTCAAAAAAAAATTTTTAATTTTAAATTAATTCTATAACAATGTGAAGTTTTATCAAATAGCCATTTGACTAAAGATGTAATTTTTGTAGATTGTTATTTGAATGAATTGACAAAAAACTTGGTTGAAAATTTTGTTTACTTGAATTTTTGTTCTCTTGTTTACAAAATTTCACAGTTTTGAAATTCAACCAAAATCAAAAATTTTTGAAATAACTCTTAGGACTAGAATCGCGATTTGGTCCGATGTTATTTTATGATTCCTATGTATGTATGTATACATTTGTGTGATATGTATATGAACATACATATCACACACACACACACACACACATATATATATATATATATATATATATATATTATTATAGAATTTTAACTTTAATTTAACGAATATTAAATGTTAAATATGAACCATACAACACTCAGATTTTTAGCACACACTTTATTTGCCTCATCGTCAGTGTAATTTCAAAACAATTAATTATATACTAACACATTCTTTAATATTCTATTTAAATTACATTTAATTTTTGAAAATAATTGTAAGTTATAATTGATGTTTTTTGTATTTTCAAAAATTAAATGTAATTTAAATAAAATATTAAAGAATGTGTTAGTATATAATAACTGTTTTGAAATTACATCAAAGATGTGGCATACTATGGTCTCGAAAAGTCTGCAAATACTGTATATATATATATATATATATATATATATATATATATAATGATACCCTGCATAACGTACGCCTCGCACAATGGACGATGCGCATAACGAACTTTTTTTCTCGGTCTCGAACGTTCCACACAACGAACTTTGCTTAACACAACGTACTAAATCGTTGTCATTTGTAGTCAAAAATCATATCTTGCTCAAATTAATTCAAAAAGTGGATCTTGGAAATTTTTGCCCTGCTGTGAAAATATACTTGTTGGCAAAAAACTATCGACAGTTTCTATCAAAATTCAGAAGCTAAAAGGGCGCACAAGGAAGCAGTACGACTCTGATAATAACTTAATATTTCGTAAATCAGTAATATTTTTTTAAATGTCTTAATTATATGTAAAATATATCTTATTTTCTATTGACATTTCAACTCACTATAGAACGAATTAATTTTATTTTCAGGTATTTGTATGGAAAAACGCGTTTCGCATTGCGAACTTTTCTCACGACTTGCTCCCAGAACGAATACAGTACATAATGCGGGGTATATATATATATATATATATATATATATATATATATATATATATATATATATATATATACATATACATACATATATAAACATATAACCTTAGATTTTTTTGTTGTACGTTGAATAAAATTCTATATAAAAATAATATATATATATATATATACATATATATATATATACATATATATATATATATATATATATATATATATATATATAAATATATATATATATTGATTGTTTCTTTTCCGAACAGTAAATCCAATAATAAAAAACAATTTGTTTTTTGAAGATGTTTAATACGACGTTTCGGAACTAGGTACGTTCCATCATCAGGTTTATTCTGTCAAATACAATGTTTTTTAAAAAAATATTGATTAACATTAATTAACGATGGTCAATACAGATTAATTAGAAAAAAAATTTTTTATAAAGGAATGGATTATGTACCGGGGTAAAGAGTAATAAGACTTAACTAAAAAAGGTTTTATATAAAATTGAGAAGCAAAAATTATTTACCTGTAATAATTTATATATCCATATCACTAATATTTTTTTGTTAAAAACACTCGATTTTTTTGGAAGATATTTTTAAATGTTACGACTACACAAGACTTAAACACACTGATATGGATTTCTGTCTGCCAGATGTAAAGGACAATGCACGGAATTCTTGGAAAAAATGATTTTTTATGGCTCTTGTTTGGTAATTTACGAAAAAAAAGGAAATATTGCTTTAGTAAATGTTGAGAAATATTATGTATATATATACATATATATATATATATATATATATATATATATATATACATGCACATGTATATGCACACCTACATAGTCATACATACATATGCACATATCTATATATTAATGTATCCACAATTATATACATGAACATATGTGCAAGTGCATGTGTATAGTGTACACACAAAAACATACATACAAGCACATATATGGATGTACATATATTATAACATATATACATGTATATATATACATATTCAAAAATTATTTAGTGCAGTAAACGGAGAGGAAAAAAGGGTATAACCACTGAATTTTTTTACTGTGCTCCGAATTTCATGAAATTCCGGAATCAGGTTCATCTCACCCTCAAATTCAAAAGTGACAACAATTCGGGTTGCGCCATCAACCCCCGGGGGGATGACCCCCCTTCTCAACTGTGCAATCACACCTCTTCAAAATAACATCGGAAATCGATAGAAGAGCTAATTATAAGAAAAAAATGTTTTGCACTCAGAAAACTTGTAGCAGCACTCATTTTAAAGCTTATGTTGAGCACTATAAAATCCCAATTTCACCGAAATGCATAAGATGTAGGACCTCGATTTTTATTGACGTTATTTTGTTCATTACATGAGTTTCGTTAAAATGAATGGTTTGGGAGATATTTGCAAAAAGACGAAGAGAAGCGCCAAAGATATATGAATCTTTGGTGGCCAGTAACTTGAAGAGTATTGGTTTTTTTGAAAAGCTATAGAAGACATTTTTTTCTTATAATTAGCTCTTCTATAGATTTCCGATGTTATTTTGAAGAGGTGTGATTGCACAGTTGAGAAGGGGGGTCATCCCCCCGGGGGGTGATGGCGCAACCCGAATTGTTGTCACTTTTGAATTTGAGGGTGAGATGAACCTGATTCCGGAATTTCATGAAATTCGGAGCACAGTAAAAAAATTCAGAGGTTATACCCTTTTTTCCTCTCCGTTTACTGCACTAAATAATTTTTGAATATGTATATATATACATGTATATATGTTATAATATATGTACATCCATATATGTGCTTATATGTATGTTTTTGTGTGTACACTATACACATGCACTTGCATATATGTTCATGTATATAATTGTGGATACATTAATATATAGATATGTGCATATGTATGTATGACTATGTAGGTGTGCATATACATGTGCATGTATATATATATATATATATATATATATATATGTATATATATACATAATATTTCTCAACATTTACTAAAGCAATATTTCCTTTTTTTTTCGTAAATTACCAAACAAGAGCCATAAAAAATCATTTTTGCCAAGAATTCCGTGCATTGTCCTTTACATCTGGCAGACAGAAATCCATATCAGTGTGTTTAAGTCTTGTGTAGTCGTAACATCTAAAAATATCTTCCAAAAAAATCGAGTGTTTTTAACAAAAAAATATTAGTGATATGGATATATAAATTATTACAGGTAAATAATTTTTGCTTCTCAATTTTATATAAAACCTTTTTTA